AAAAAAAAAAAAAAAAACCATGAAAATGGTAAAATAACAAACCCGTATTTTAAACTGCCCCCCCGCACCAAATCACTCAGACCCAATAAAAGAATATTTTGCAAAATTAAAAATAAATCTATATCAAAACCCAAAACCCAACAACAACCTCACACCTCACTTCACCTCACCTCACCTCACCTCACCTTCACCCCCCCAGAAAAAAACCAAAATGTCCCCATCATCCTTACCCCCCAACCTCATCCCTGAAATCTCCGCATTCGTAACAAAATGCATGGCCTCCCACGACCCCTCCCACAACCCCCAACACGTGCACCGGGTCGTGTCATTAGCAAACCAAATCCTAGTCCGCGAAAAAGCCCGGAACCCCTCTTCTTCTTCTTCTTCTTCTTCTTCTTCTTCTTCTTCTTCTTCTTCTTCTTCTTCTTCTTCTTCTTCTTCTTCTTCTTCTTCTTCTTCTTCTTCTTCTTCTTCTTCTTCTTCTTCTTCTTCTTCTTCTTCTTCTTCTTCTTCTGCAGTCTACAATGCAGACATAGTGCACCTTGCAGCACTACTCCATGATATCGGGGACCGGAAATATTTATCGCAGGTGGCTGCTATTTCGGAGTCGATTCGGGGCAAGCAGCAGCAGCAGCAGGGTACTACTACTACTACCAGCACCGCGAACTCATCCGAGGCGGTGGATCCTGAGCGGTTGGTTTATTATGTGCTTTTGGCGCATGGGGTGGAAGAGGTGGTGGCGGAGAAGGTGCAAATGATTGTTTCGCATGTGTCGTATACGACTGAGAGGGCGAAGCCGGAGGAGGTGAGGAGGTTGATTGCCGATGGGTATCCGGAGTTGGGGATTGTGCAGGATGCGGATCGGTTGGATGCCATTGGGGCGGTGGGGATTGGAAGGTGTTTTACTTTTCTTGGGGCCAAGGGGAAGAACTTTTGTCCTGAGGGCATGTGGGTGATGGATAATGCGATTGAGCATTTTGAGGAGAAGTTGGTGAAGCTGGAGAGTATGATGAAGACAGAGACTGGGAGGGAGATGGCTAAAGTGCGCACGGCCAGGTTGAAGGAGTTTCAGGGCTGGTGGGCGGAGGAAATGAAAGACGCCGCATAGAAAGATCCCTTTTTTACGAATATCGGCGAGAACGACATGTGACGGCATTCAATGCGATATAAATTAACCTAGAGACATCCAGTCCGAAATCATGCTATCCAGTCTATCGATTCTCAATACACTATTGGGTATGTGACAGGTGACAATATTATCTGCTGTAAATGTGCGCGCATAGAGAAAGGAACGTGTGGTTCAAACAACCTGATGCACTCGGTGATAACCATTTGTCGTGCAGGGTAAAACGACTGTGATGCCATAGTCGATGCCACCAAGATGAGTGGGGAAGGACGGTCAAGTTATCAAGAAGAAAAAAAAAAAATAAGAATAAAAATAAAAGGCACACCAACGCCAGAACCGCTGTAATGTCTAAACAAATTGCATGTTGTTGTGTTTCAATATACCCCCGAAGAAAAAGATTATAATGCAATTAGACCCGATCCCGGGCGAAATCCAAGAAGTCGCAGTCATCCTCAAAAAAGCCATCATCGCCTCCAGAACCAGCCGAAGGAAACGATGAGCCATGTCTCTTCTTTCTGCGTGTGGTGATCACAACCTCTTCAGGAAGCCCCGTACTATTGCCAAGACTGATTAGATTCTCCATCTCGCCACCAGAGCCTAGTTGGTGTTCATGTAGCGTCTCGTCATCATCATCATCGCCGCCAGCGCTGAATGGGCGCACATGTATTCTGGTCATGGGCAGGCTCTCACCAAATACCCAGTTGCCAGTAGGCAGATTCGATGGTTCGTCCGCATGACCAGTTTCCGGGTATACGTAGAGACTAACCCTCTGGTCGGTGTGGAAAGGTTGGTAAGGTGCGTTTGTCTCAATCTCCGCCTGGGAGAGAGGCTGGCATTTGAGTTTCGATGCAAGAGACGGCCGTGGGTTGGAAGACGGCAAGGCGAGCGATGCGCGAACGGTGGTCTCCGCATTAAATGCGCTAACAGGCATAGGACCACAAGGCGCCTGCAAAACGGGAGGCAGCCGGAATTCAATTTCCTTGCCTCCCACCACAGATTGGAGCTGCCGATTCTTCTGAGTAGACATAGTACGTCGCACCCTATAGAGCCGGAAGTGCCCGCTGTCCACCAAGCCTAAAAATGTCTGGTCTTTATTCGTAATCCAAGTGACACGAGACGCAGCTGGGTCACGGGCCAGCCCGTGCAAGCGGTTTTCGCCAGCGTGGCGGAGCGTGTTAACAGTCCCCGTGGCTGCTCCCATTGACTTGCTGAGACCAGCAGCAACGACTTTCCCGCCTCGAACCCCAGCAGACGATGAAAATCCCCCTACTGCAGGTAATGCGCCACCGGCACTTGCGGTACGACCTCTAACCGCAGCGATTATAGGCTGTGTCTTGCCCCCAACGAGCTTAAACGCCGCTGATAGAGGGTTCACGGGGGCCGCTTTGTCAGACAACTCGTCAGTTGATTGGTCAGCTACCGGCGGTTTACTGGATGCTGGGCGAGCTCGTCGGAATGGAGGCCATTGGAAAGCACTCCGCGGTAGGTCAAAGACATGTACTGTTCCTTTCCGAGTAATAACTGCCAGTCGGTCTCCAGAAGGAGGGCACCAAATCACATCGACAATATAGGATTTTGTCAGACGTGTGTACCGCGCGATTTGGCGCACGTTGGCACAGGTGTTCACGGAATCCTCTGACAAGAATGCCCCGGCTCGACAATACTTAGCTTGCATGAGATCCCAGACGTGTTGAACGTCGCCGTTCGTGCTCGCTGTAAGCAGCATTAGTCCGTTAGGCGAAAATGAGAGAAAGCTACATCCTTCGGGGGGCTGGAACGTGGCAACGGGGCTGAATAGCGCGGCCTTTGTCTCATTGCTGTCTTCAAGCCTTTTCAAATCCATGATTGAAACAAGGTCAGGCTCCGCGGGTGTGGTAGTATGGGTATCTTGGGCATGAGTAGGTGGGAAGGCGCTGTATGCCTGCGGTAGATCTCCCAAGTTGGGAGAACGGCGCGGTGTAGAAGTTTGTAGCTGGTCTTTGTTCCAATAATTATTCCACGCCTGAAGCCCCTGGTCGCCCATCCATCTTGCACCTCGCACAATCTCCTGCGTGACGCCTCTTGCTACCTTGTCAAAGAAGCTCGGACCCTCGCCAACGTCTGTAGCGCACGTTATTGCTGGCCTTGCTGGAGGATTACGATTCTCGAGACCATAGACTTTACCCTGTATCAACGAGGGAGGAACTGTCCCTGGAAGCGACGCCCTATACGTGGACGATGGTGGGACGATTGCCAGCCATCTTCCCTTTAGCGCAACGATAGGGCTGTCGGTGTTAGCAATCCCAGATGGAGAGTCAGTCCGAGATCCATCAGGGTCTGTTGAACTTGAAGAGGTGGAGTATCGCCGGGATTCCCGTGAGCGAATACTCGTCCATGTTTTACCTAAGCACTGGTATCCATTCATACTGTAGATGAATACCTCGCCACTGGCTCCAGATGCCAAGACTACATAGTTGCCTCCCGCGAAGAGCTTCAAGTTTCCGGCGGGTGAAGGTGCAATTGTAGACAGTCCAGGGATGCTCTCAAAGTACGGAGAAGGCTTCATAGTGAAAAGCGTCGTAATGTGATCACCCGTTCTGAGCGAATATATTTCGACGCGTGTCTGGTAATATTTGGCGTCGTCTTTCACCGAGCGCTGACGCCCAATGGGTGTGGCAGGTACCTCATTCACTTCCGAACCCACAGAGGAGCCACGAGTATCATCATCGGGTAGCCCACACGGACCATGGATAATGACAGCGACATGCGGTCTAGACGCTGAGCACGAGTCATTGGGTAAGTTGCAGGCCAGGATTTTGGCGTCTATCACACGACCATTGAGACCAGCCAGCTTCCCAATTAATCGCGTTTTACGATCCTCCACTGCGAGGACTTCTAAAAATCCATCGGAACCCACAACAAGAACACTAGTTCCCATTCTAGACGACTTGGATGAAGGGCTGTAGATCGTATCAAAGGAACAGAAGGAGTACTTTTCACCTGTCGACTGCCTGTTCTGGCCAGAGACGAGCGGGAGGTCGATATCAGGTGCTCCATAGAAATGGGCCTGTGGCAAATGTGGCAACGGAATCGGATTACTGAATGGGCCGCTGACGGAGTGGCTTTTGTGCCTATCAACAGATTGCTGTCGAGATAGGTCACTGCTCAAGTACCCGTTACCATAGCTCAAAGGCCTTGCCCTGGGAAGAGGCGACGTTGAGGAGGGATGGCTAAAACCACCCTTTTCCGGATTTGAGGGGAAGGCAAAGGGAGACCCATTCGCGATTTCCCCATCACTAACGTCATTTGGTGGGCTCTTCCCAAATGGGATAGATTTTGCCCAGCTATCTGTACGATAAGCTAGGTCATTTTCTGGTGAGTCATTAAGGGAGCCAAGTGCATCTAGAACCGGCGAGACGATATTGTTGGGACGTTCAGGAGCCAACGGAGGGTTCGGACATGACGACGGTTCAGCCTGCAGAGGCGGAGAGGCTGGTATCCTATGCATTTTAAGTGTTTCAGGTCAGTGATCTGATAGACAAAGTGGCAGATTCGCGATGCTCTATGCTTACAAGTCTTCTGGCGGTGTCTTCGCTGCGGCCTTGGCTGCCTTTGTCTTCCCCTTGGATCCGGCTTTTCCCTTTTTCTTCTTTCCGGTCTGATCATTCTCCGGAGGGTTTTGGTTCAGATCCTCTAGGGGTGGGCTAGGGTCACCGACGGACCGGCTCTGCTGGCGGAATAGATCGTCCGAAGCTGCCGGGGGCATGAAATGGGAGGATTGCCTCGAGGAGGCAAGACGGTCTCGATAAGAAAAGCCGCTCTCAGGACCCGTGATAATGTCTGAGAACGGGGATCCCGCGATGTTATCGACGGCAAAGACTGTCGCGGAGGTATGGCACTATCGGCTGTTGAGCTATCAACAAACATACCCGTCAGCATGACTCACCCAACAGTTCGAGGGTACAGAACAATACGTACATGTATGTTTATTGGAAAGGACGAGTTGGATTTAGTACTATGAAATGAGAGGCGAATTCGATGCACGTAGAGAATAAGGGTTAACAAAGCAACAGCGTATCCAGAGTCAACACTCGATACGCTTGTAGCTTCGGAGTTTAGGGCGACACGGAAGCACTGCTTATACCGTTCGTCCGAGTTCCGCGATGGATGTATGGAAGTGGGAACACGAGTTACAGAATGTACAAGATGGCAGATATACCGGATACAAAGAAGACAGTTTGGTTAAAGAAGTTAAGTTGTTCGTAAAATCGAGAGAAAGGTTGGGGAGGAGAAGAACATGGAGCGAGAGGGGGAGGGGGTTCAGGTCAGGAGTATGGATGACATCCCCATGGGTAGGCTGACTTATCTCCTATCAGTCCCAGATTTAGTTAACCTTAGTGGTGACCGACCACGAATAGACTACTATTAGTTGGGGGGAACTAAGATTCGGTCGGCAGGTACGGTACCGTATGGTAAACCTTGGTAACCTCGGTGAGGTCCCCAGACCGGCACATGACGAGAACCAAGTGATGATTGGCCCCTTTGAGACGGTGACCGTCAGGCTATGACGCCAGGTTTGGACTGCCTAACGTGCCTTTTCCAGACGGTCCTTGGATCTACGGAGTACCGCGCTTGCCTTGCAGTCTGCAAACCCAAAAAAGAATAAGTACGTATGGAGTCATCCGCCCCCCTCCTCTGAGAATGAGAGGAAAGCCCACCCCACTATTCATTCCACAGCCACTCGGTACTCAAATGACGATCCATACACCATGTTCCAGGCAAACTATTGGTTTGCCCTGCAGGTCGCATGAGGGGCCCCCCCGGACAAACCATGCAAACAGCACGCGTCTGAACACGGGTCAGCGTGCGCCACGTGATCTGTCTGGATGATGCAGCCAAAGAGCCCTTACCACTTGGACATGGAAGGGCAATGGCAAAGCCACAGTCAACAACCTGGAACTTCCCCAACTTCTAACTAATTCTTCCGTGGACGATCCGGGTCTAGCCGCCACTGCAACTTCCATGCCAACCAAATATTGAATCATCCGGAATGTTCTGTCCGATAGGTCCGCATTACCGCATAGTAACTTACTCGCCGTCATCTGTAAGGTCCCAGATTGTCATTGGCACATCATCAAGCGGTGACTGAGGCATGACGGTGGAGAGGTTGTTAAATCACATTGGAAGTCCATCCGTCGGGTCCTCACGCTTGTACTAGTAGTATGGGCTACTTCCATCTTTGAGGAGTTTCCCCTTTTGGGGGGTCCAATCTCATGTGATATCTTCCAACTTGGATTGGCCTATCAGTCCGTCGTCGATGTCTTTCATCGCACCACGTGACAGGTTTAAGGAAGATTCCATTGAGAGTATAGTAGTAGGGAAGAGCGTGGAAGTTGCATGCATGCATACTCCAGGGATCAAAAAAGGGATATGACGTGTATTGTTACAAAGTATATGACAGCTGTTCCGATGCATCTAGGTTCCCCCCGCGCGCACACCAAAGTTCGCGCCTATTGCAACATCTTCAAGTCTTCTTTTTCGCCGCCGCAGCCTTGGCCTTGGCCGCCTTCTTCTTGTTGCTGTTGATCATGACGATTCCGATGAATGTACCAACCACAGCCGAACCGAGGAGAGTAAGGATGACAGGGATGCGGATGGCCCATACTCGGGGAGGGAAAAGGTCATGGAGGGGGTGGTCCGGGTCGACAAATGGCTACCAGATCGTTAATAGATGCACGTAAATCCAAAAGACACAGGAAGAGAGCTACCATGAGAAGAGTCCAGGCCGTGTAGTAGAGAAAGATTGCGGTAGCGGCCAAGAGCATGGCGGATCCGACGACTTGGCCCAGCTAGAAACAGCGACAATCAGCATATGAAAATATAACAATACGAAGAGTTGAATTCTTACCATAGTGGTGAACAAATCTTTAGGGAAGACCTAATAGAGTAATTGCGAAGAACTGCTCGCCTGAAAGATGGGCATGGACAGACTATCCCATCGCATAAACATGAACAGCTTGGCTCCTGGGTGTCACGTGATTTGAACCAGACGCTAAGACTTTACCCTTCGCCGCCTCACGTTCTGTCCGACGGAGCTCAACCATCAACGTTTTCGCAACTTGACTCTTGAGTCACTCTTCCCTTATTGAGGTCCCAGGGTGATCTGGGGAACTGTAAGGAACGATGACAGATCCGGTCGTATTGCAGTCGGCGGTCCGAGTGCCCACACCTCCACCTGGCACATCCTATTCTCCAAACGCATCGGGCTCACGAAAACGCTCGCCCCCCTCTCGTTCGCCTTCTCCCAATCGTCGCCGGTCTCCCCCAGGTGACTCTGTCAAAGAAGATGGCGACGCGCCACGGATTGATCCTGAACGCGCCATTGAGCGAGAACGGCAACTTGCGGAGCGTGTCCGTCAACATGAGAAGCAGGAGGCCGCGCGGAAACCGATGACGGAGGAAGAAAAGCAGGCTTCAGCCAAAGCAGAATATGAGAAGCTTTTGAATATGCGGTCGGGAGGAACTTACATCCCCCCGGCTCGACTCCGTGCGCTGCAAGCCCAGATCACAGATAAGACAAGCAAAGAATACCAGCGTATGGCATGGGAAGCTTTGAAGAAATCAATCAACGGTCTTATCAACAAAGTCAACGTCTCAAACATCAAACATATTGTTCCAGAACTTTTCGGTGAGAATCTAGTGCGTGGACGCGGGCTCTTTTGCAGGAGTATTATGAAGGCTCAAGCTGCCAGCTTGCCGTTCACACCAATTTACGCTGCGATGGCGGCTATCGTCAACACCAAGCTTCCTCAAGTTGGCGAACTACTGCTTAACCGATTGATTGTCCAGTTTCGCAAAGCGTTCAAACGAAATGACAAGGCGGTCTGCATCTCGTCGACGACTTTCATCGCTCACTTGTGCAACCAACAGGTCGTACATGAGATGCTTGCAGCTCAAATTCTTCTTCTCCTGCTCCACAAGCCTACAGATGACAGTGTGGAAATTGCCGTCGGCCTCACAAGGGAAGTCGGCCAACATTTGGAGGAAATGAGTGGTCCTATTGCCCTGGCGGTGTTCGATCAGTTCAGAAACATTCTCCACGAAGCCGATATCGATAAAAGAGTCCAGTACATGATCGAAGTCTTGTTCCAAGTCCGTAAGGATCGTTACAAAGACAATCCGGCGATCAAGGATGAACTTGATTTGGTAGAGGAAGAAGATCAGATCACACACCGTGTTGGTCTTGACGATGAGATTGAAACTCAAGATACCCTCAACATTTTCAAATACGACCCGCAATGGGAGGAACACGAAGACACGTACAAGAAATTGAAGGCTGAGATCTTAGGTGAAGGTAGCGATGATGAAGAAGATGAGGACGAGACCGATGAGAGCTCTGATGAAGAAGCTGAAGAAGAGCGGCAGATGGATATCAAAGATCAGAGTAATACGGACCTCGTCAACCTGCGGAGGACCATCTACTTGACGATCATGTCTAGCATTGACTTCGAAGAATGCTGTCACAAATTGATGAAGATCTCACTGCCACCTGGCCTGGAGCCTGAACTTCCGTCGATGATTATTGAATGTTGTTCTCAAGAAAGAACATACTCAAAGTTTTACGGTCTAATTGGTGAGCGGTTTTCCAAAATCAATCGTCTTTGGTGTGACCTTTTCGAGGCCGCTTTCGCCAAGTACTACGACACGATCCATCGATTCGAGACCAATAAGCTGCGCAATATTGCCCGCTTTTTCGGCCATATGCTCAGCACAGACGCCATCGGCTGGCATGTTATGTCCGTGATTCACCTTAATGAAGAAGAAACCACTTCAAGTAGTCGTATTTTCATCAAGATTCTCTTCCAAGACCTAGGAGAGCACCTTGGTCTGCCGAAGCTGCAGGAGCACATGAGAGATGAGATACTTCGCCCGAGCTTTGAGGGTCTTTTCCCAACAGATAACCCTCGCAACACCCGCTTTTCTATCAATTATTTCACAAGTATCGGTTTTGGTATTCTGACAGAGGACATGCGTGAACACCTGAAGAACCTCCCCAAGCCGACAGTCCCTGCTCTCCCTGCTCGCGACGCTACTCCAGAGTCAGACGCTGAATCTTTCAGCTCTCGCTCATCTTGCTCCACGTGCACTGGCCCCCGTCACTCACGCTCGCGCTCGCGCTCCTATTCATACTCCCGTTCGCCTTCGCCGGGGCGAGGCCGCCGGCGCTCGGTCAGTCGGGGCAGGTCTTACTCACGATCCATCTCCGGATCTTCTCGCCGGAGCTACAGTTACACGCCGTCGCGCTCCAGGTCCCCAGTGTCAAAAAGTCGCCGGCGCTCTGTTTCCTACAGTCGATCCCGTTCACCCAGGAGGTCGTCGGTCTCTCGTACTCCCCCCAGACGGACCCGTGCTAAGTCTTACGACTCGCGCGCCTCTCGAAGCGTGAGCCCGTACCCAGCTCGACGTTCACCGTCTCGGTCTGCTACACCCGAGAAACAGGGTTACAGTCGTAGGAACCGAAGCTACTCTAGGTCAGTGTCGAGATCTGTTACTCCACCTAGACGTGAGGCACGAGGCAGACGCTACTCTTCCGAGTCCTTGTCTCCTCCTCGCTCTAAACGCGCATCCTCGCGTTCACCTCGCAAGGCAGCCCCTGCTCGGCGCGCCCGCGATGACTCAGTGTCACGCTCCCCGAGTCCCGCACGTTCGGGACGTGATCAAAGAAGACGCCGGTACTCGGATTCCCGATCACCACCTCGCTCGCCCCCTCGGCGTAGATCGCCGTCCCGAACCCCCCCTCGTCGGGGCCGCGCCGCGGACTATATCTAATTTAAAATGGTGATGGGTTGCTGTAAAAATGACATGGAAATGCTTATAAGATGCATTCAAAGATTTCGAATTATTTGATGTTGACCTCAGGTCATGAAATTTTTTTTATTAGGACAGGTTAAAGGCTCGGTTTCATAGGTGTATTTATACTACCCTGCGTTTAGGTTCACAATAGCGAAAAAAAGAAGGCAGTGCACTCACTGCAAACGATCCACATAATCACCTGATGGCGGTCTTTCAAATCTAGCTTTCTATAAAACGCAAACTATAACAATAGCTTTTTCGGTACAGCATCTATCATATCTAGGGTATCACTCAACGATCCAACCCATCTATCCTTTCTCGTAAACTCCCCCAAGGAAATGACAATGTAAAACGAATCTACTCAGCAGCCTCCCACATACACCTTTCACACAAACACAACCCACCCAATGCACCTCTAGCCCATTCCCTTCTCTCCTTGACATCCAGTCCAATATCGCAGTAATGATTCAAAATCTCCTCATCAGCCTTGATCCCCTCGTTCCTTGGCGGCGTCTTCTCCTCCCCTGTACTAGTCTTCTTCCAAACAGGACGTTCAGACTCCGTCCTAGCCCGGAAGGTAATCTCACCACCCCACTCCCACCTCACATTCGGATCACAGCAGTGGTTCGCAAGACACCAGAGCGGATGCACAGCACAGAGCTCCGGGCCACCGTCCCAGGTAGAAAGACGGCCGGATGCGGTGCCGCGGAATTTAGCATAGAGCGTATTAAGCACCCAGGTATCATAGCGGGGGAGGACCTCATAAGGATCCAGTTCCATTTCCTCGATGATGCGCATGGGCTGGAGGATATTGAGGTGGAACGAGAAGGGGAGCGTTGCGGTGGGGTCGTTGGAGGTAACAGAGTCTTCAGATGAGCCTTCGAGGTCGTGGAAATCGCCCCAGATGTATTTGATCTCGGGGAGGTCAAGAGGATGCACGTCCTGTGTTGCGGCCATAGCGATTGCCCGGCCCAGGAGGAGGAGGTACAGGTAGTCAGCTTTGTCTTTGGGGTCGGGGGTGTCTTTGCCGATGGATTCGAGATTCTCCATTAGGCCGCAGAGGGCGCCGTGGTAGATTTCCTGTGCTTGGTCGTGGCAGGTTTGGCTGCAGAAGATTGTGTCGTCGCAGCCTGTGCAGGCGACGGGTGGGTTCTCGGCTGACAATTCGGGCAGGGTGGCGTTGCAGGCGTCGCAGAGGTCGTCGTGGAGTCTGTTGGTGGCTGTAAGGAGGGAGTTTTCGCGGAGGATGATCTCGCCGGGGGCAATGTCTTCTTTTGCGAAGAGGCCTAGTTGGATGGATACCTCGCCCTCTGATGAGGTTCCTTCGTCGGTGGTGCCGTGGAGGGCGGGCAGGGCAACAGCCCGCACTTCACATTTGGGCGCAACGTCCTTCAGTCTGTCATTGAGTAGATTGAGTGTCTCAGGGGCCTTTCTGTCCGGCTCGTGCTCGTTCCAGGGATACAGGACCCTCCGCGCGAAGCCCTGTGCATTCAGAGCACTAGGGCTGATGTCCACATCCGCGGCTCCGTTTTCCTTTACCGAGTCGGGCCGTCGAGAAATGTAGGCTTTCTGGATTGCGCTCAGCTCCTCCTTAAGGGTATCCACGGCTTTACCATCGCCCTTTTCCATACTTCCAAGTAGCGACAGACCACGCAAGCAGAATTCATATGCATCTCTATAGCACCGGCATTTCACCAGGTTCCGAACAAGTAAGGCATATACAGTCCCGATAATCTCGTCATACTCGTCTTGTGTAGTAGCGACATAAGAATCGTCGGCGTCCTCGTCATCTTCTTCCTCCTGCTCCCCCTCCTTTTCACCTTGAACTTGGGTATTTATCTTCCGTCGAGCATGAAACTCGCATCCGTCAGGATCAACAACGGACTCCAACAGTGAAAGAGCGCGGTACGCGTCTGCGGATGCTAAATCCGCAAATCCCAATTGCTCATGAAGCAGTGCTCGTTCAAGGTGAAGATGCGGGTTGTGAGGGTCCGCATAGAGACGGACGGTTGTTTCAGCGCGTGTTTGGAGGAGGTCTTTCATCTTTGATATATAGACCCTAGTAGCTAGCTTGACTGGAGAAGGAGTGTGGCTATTTCACTTCTTCTATTCGGAACGTGGGGTAACAGTAGACTGAAGGCCAATTGTTGGCTATATTGAGGTTGAACGAGATTGCGCCCCCAGCAGATCTTATGTATTGGCTGGGCTTGTTACGTAGTGCCACGATATTCAACAATTTATGTACAAAGTTGAACATTTCATTGAGAAATTAATGTATAAAAAGAGAGAAAAAGAAAAAAGAATGCGGGGGGATGACTATCGCCACGTGATGATATTAGAATTTGCCCTACATCATCCATATTAGGAAGGTCAAATATGGGCTTATCAAATTATCTCACATTAGGGTCAAGCCCGAATAGCAATCAAAATCGGGCCTGTAATACAGCTGGATGCTCTGGGAAAGTACTACTCACTCTTGCCTGACATCTCTCTGTGTCTTTCTTTCCATTGCTTTGTCGGGCTTTTCCTAAATCGACACCAGCAACGGACTTACTAGTATGTATCTAGTGATTACTTTATTAACAGAATTTAGATATGTGCTCTGGTATTCTGTAGTAAGTCCCTCTAGTCAGTCACCGTGCTAAACTCATTAGCCAAGAAATTATTTCTAAAAGCTCACCAATAAACACCTAACCCTTACATCGAAAGGTAGTCTATGGATCAAGAGAAAAGGCAAAAGCGATTATCGATGCGGACAGGATAACCTGTGGTTGTAATTGGCTCCTATATATATCGAACGAACATATCACATCGAGGAGTCAATGATCAACGAAGTACCCACAGCGACAAGTTCTATGACTATCCTACTTGAGAATGTGCCTGATAAGCTGCTACCCCATCTCTACATGGATCTTTGCAAATTTGGACAAATAGAAGCATTATTATTTCCTTTCCCTTGTAATTACAGGCCGGCTCAGGCCAACGCGATCCATTGTACAGAGTTTTCAACAAGCGTTGTCCCATATTCCTCGCTCTGTCTCCACAAACCTATTACTAGGCGCTCAATTATGAGGTAAAGCGAAAGTATCCGGCGAATTCGATAAGATCGAATAAGTTCACTGGTTATTGTGAGCCATTGCAATGGAAAACAAGGAGTGGATGATGAAATGGTCCTTACATTTAGTGGAACACTTGGAAAGGCGAACTTGTTTAGTTGCAAGGGTTCCGGCCTGTTCCCATGATCCTCTTCCAATTTGCCATGTCGGTGCTATCCTTGTTTTGAAAGGTGTCATAGAGGAAGCGGGAGCATGACCCCTCGTTGGCGGTCGTGCATTCGGTCGGTGTACCCATGACATGCTTCCAGTTCCACACGTCCTGGAATTCGTTGTTTTTAAACAAGTCATGCAGGATCTTGCCGCATGCATCGTTGCTGTTCACGCAATCGTCCTTGGTGTCGTTCATGACCTCCCTCCAGTGGTACACGTCGGTGCTCTTCGTGTTGGTAAAGGTGTTATAGATGTACTTGCCGCATGACGCATCGTTGGTGGATGCGCTAGGCATGGCAAGTACGGAAGAGAAAGAAGCCAAGGAGGCAAGAGTAATGGCGGAGAAGAACTTCATTGTGAAAGATGGTGGTTGATAGCCACGGAATGAGTAAAGAGTAAGTGGTGGTAGTAGTTTTTGAAGGCTTTAATTGTGTTTGATTATGAAGAATGAGGTACTCAGGGTATGGATGATGCTCACTTATATACACGTTCTCCAGATAGATAGGGCCTAGATTTTCTTAACCCTAAATATATGATATCACATGTATCGTGTAGTTTAGGAAACTACTTAGCATTTCCGTGGTGGAGCCTGCAGATATTAATTGGAACCCCTTGCATTACCGATCGCCTCGCCCCTGAAGTAGCATAAGCGCATCATATCATTACTTCCAGTAGAATACACACAGTCAATAGACTGGTTCTGGGGGTCAATTACAGAGTTTCGGATGTAGACTCTTCCTCGCCAATGACGCCCCTGCATAACTAGGCGCTCGAGTCTTAGGCTCTACCAGGTCCATACGATATTTATCGTTTGAGCGCATGATGATCATGTTTGTGTATAGTCAATTCCTCCATCTTCTGATATTGGTGGGTCCCTCGGTTACCAGATGTCAGGACCGCCACTCTGTTCTATTGCAAACTGTGATATCTCTACTACACTCTAGATAGCCCCTTACAAAGGACATCTGGGACGAAAGGTAGCAAACTTTTTCCATTACTAGATTCTTTTAGTGACATATCTCATGATTCATTATGCCCCTATTATGAATATCAGGTGATTGATAGGGTCTAAGGTATGCTAAAAAAAAAAATAAAGCGCAGTATCTCCCAATTTAACACATCTCTATCATTTTAATCTTCTGGTGACACTCTAAAGTGCAAGTGCACACTTGAAACCAGCCACACAAACACCAGCAAGGGGCATATGCACGAGTAATGTAATATCAGGGCATGAACAACTTTAAGCTCTCCTCGCCGTGGGAAATAGCTCAAGCAACACTGTCTCTAGTTATGATTTATTCGCCGGTGGAGCTCTGCATTTCCGAGAAAGACGATAAAGTTAGGTTAATCGCCACTGTGATATGTAAGGCTAAAACACAATTATCGACCGGCAAAACATCCATGGTGATGTAGTAGCACTGACGTACCACTCTCGCTTTACTTTCTCTCCTTACTTATTTATGAACGTGTACGGAGTAGCATGGAGCCAAAAACGTTCTCTATTTGGAGTGGCCATGTCCTCGAATGCTCTCAACAAGCCCGACTTAAAACACCAGCGAACTGCGGTAAACTATGATCAATAATTTATTGCAAGGTTTGATAGACCTATATCAGATCATTGTATCGCCATATTTCGGAATCAGTCTCGATTGCTTGTGTTCATGTATGGTCGGAGGGGTTAAATAAAGATGTACATCACATCCTGATGAGATAAGCCCTAATATGCAAGGTCAACTTCAAACTACTTAATCTATATTCCACCAGCTCCCGGAGAATGTCTCGGCGAGTCATGAAAATGGTGTGGCAATCCAATAGTTTTAGGTGTATCTATGACATATCAACATTACCTCGCGAGCCTGTAGGAACTTACCAGACCTAATTTCAATCTAGGGTCAAGAACCTTTGAGGGGGGAAAGATAGAGTTTCTAGCTTGTACATTTAATCTTTCACACAAGCATCAATAGACGAGATATAAGAAAAACACACAACGAATGCAAGAAGCCCCGAAGATGGCTACGCTAGGTGAAGCATACTCATGCTCAGGATGCGGTTATGGTATAAGGCATTACAACCAAACCAAACTAGCCTCTCGTGATGGATGTACCCCAGCATTGCATCCATTCTAGGAACCTTGCTTCACTACATAACCCGGAAAATGAAATTCCTGTCAATATAATAGGACAATAAATCGCCGGAAATTGGGATTACCAGCTTATTGCAAATAGTTTAGCTCCACCGTTATGACCTTGCATAGAGCTCGTGAATGCATGGCTTGACTTGACTGGCTTATCCTAAGGCCTGATTCCGAAAATGCATTGAAGTATAGATGATCCAAACTTTCATGGTCTTGGTCTCGGTCTTGGATAGGCTGCACCTCCCAAGGCAAAATATTGCACTTTGTTTGTCCTGGTTGGGTTTTGATATGGACTGAGAATCGGTAGATTACGTGTCAATGCAAATACCTCATTTAATGCGGCTCTCCTAAATCTCTTGTATACCTAGGTCTCTCGCACGTTGATTTCCTAGACTGACAGGATGTATTCTGATCATAGAGATATTCGATTCGGTTCTTATGGGATCTTAGAATACATAGCCTTGGTCTGAACGGGCAAAATCGCTTTTTCAATTTACATGATAAAGGGTCAATGGGAAACCATCTTGTCGGGACATTTATTCTTCTCCCTGTACAGTTTGAATCAATAGATGTACTCGGTCAAATCAAAACCTCGTCATGACCTCTGATCAATAAGGTGTCCGTCATAAGCGCGAAAAGGTTTGTTTGTTGATTCATTATATATATCCCGAGGGGCTGCGGAGAACCTCAATTATATATACTTCGATATCACGGTCCAGGTACTTGATGCTTACATAGGGTCTCTGGTCAGCTTTCGAGGACTAGCAGTAGTTTCACTGAGTAAAAGAGTTATAACACTTGACTTCCGAATGTATATCTAAAAGCAGGCTGTTATCTTTGGTATTATTACTAGCCACATTAGCATACCGAATAACAGACAACAACCTACATCCAAGAATCATCAACAACACAAAACGTGGAACAATCTAATACACCCCCGACCCTACTCAACTGCACATTAACCTCATCAACCAAAACCCAAAAGACATGATCCTGTTGCATGTTTTCTAGTCCCTTTACCGGTTTATGAACGCTGTCTATAGTCCATTTCGAAATGACGGGTGAATTGCCCTATCCCTTGCTCCACCAAGCTAGATTTTCTCTTATCCTCAAGAGAAGGTTCAGCTCACCAGTCAGAACAGGGCGAGGGCCAACAAAAATTAGTATAGCCATTCTCTATTATTAACATTATACATAGACTAATATTCTCATCGATCATTATTACTAGAGTGACATTCACACAGCCTCAAAATTCTGCCAAAGCAATGACACCGGTAACTAACCTCAATCCCAATCAGAACCGAAGGCGCTATCCGAAGCAATAATCGCAATAAGAGCAATCTAACAGGAATCAGTACATCCACCCAAAACAAGAACAGAAACTGCTAAGAATCTCACCAGATATAAATCCGCACCCTCAGTAACAGTAACATCAAGAGCAGGCCAGTAACCAGGACGCGAACTACGCATCAAGGCCAATTTCTTGTTGTGATTAATAACCTCACGATCGAATGAAACCTTAACAGTACATGCGTGGGTTGTGATAGGTAAATTTTCTGAAGGCGCCTGAAGTACTTTTGACCTCTGAGATCCACTACCCCAATCATAGCATCCAGATTGGTTGAATGATAGAATGAAGTGGACCAGTGTAGCGTTTTCTTAGGTAGGCTCAGTCAGTGACCACTGCTGTGGGTGGGCGTGGGGGATCATCTTTCGACCGCGAATTGTAAAGGATAGGATCCCTGGCTGTTTAGCTTGGTCAAACAAAGTAAGAATTTAGGCGAGGAATGAACTCATCGACACACAAGATCATCGCCCCTAAACCCTCTATGATTATGTCTAAGCCCGCCCCGTGTACCCGGTACTAGTTGACTTGAAAGTAGGACATCGGTGCCTGATCAAGTATTCCAACACGAACATCTTCAGAGGGCCTATGGCAGGCAGGGTCGACTTCGAACCATCCATGGGTAGAAAGAGTAAGACCTGACCAGGTTCTACAGAAATACTATATGATTGTCTGGTAAAGCAGTCAGTGTCCCAATAAAGGTCTATCAAATTAAGTTACTAATTTAGAAAGAAACCCCCAATTTTCGCGCACGAACTGTACCCCTTTGGCATAAGCGTACTTTTTGTAAGATAATAAATTTTCACATCATCTATAAGCATATTGTTAGATATATGTGATGGGCTTATTGGGGCTTTTACCCCCTCTTTTCTCTAGGGGATGCTGTAGAATGTGTAAAACTTACGTTGCAGTTCTCATCCACGACAATTCCTTGTCCTCCACCATGTCGGATGCTTACCGCAATCCGGGAGAGCATTTCTCTCTATAATTACATTGTCAGAAGCTATTGACTTGTTCAACGTTGTGGAAGATGTCAACTAAGCAGACTTACCGTGAGGGATGCATCGGCCATACCGCCTTGACGTTCGACATCATTCTGACTCATTATCTGGTAGCTATCGTGCATGCGCTTGCAGCTCTTGAGCCCGCCGATGTTTGAGACACTCGGACCTAGCACGTTAGCTGGGTTCTCGGGGTTCAGAATGTTGATGCCGCGGCGAGCGTTTTCCTGGGCATTTCTGTCGGCTGAGAAGATCTTGATAGTACTGTCTATGCCGGAAGCCGCAATGGTCGGTTCGTATGGATGGCCTGGGAGTAAAATGTCAGTGGAGAAGCTCGGTTAAGCAGACCAAAGTTAGATTTACCTTGTATAACGTTGACAACTTCAGTATCACCTTCCAGAATATTGACCAAGTCACATGTCTTCCGGTCCCAGATGAACAGATGCCCCATGTCGCTGCCGCTCACCACGTATTCGTCATTCAAGCCAAAGAAATTAACATCTTTGACTGTTTTAACATTGCAATGTCCACGATAGACTTTGGTATGCGAGGAGCACGGCACGTCAAGCCCCGCATCCTCCCTTCGGGATCTTCGCAAACCGTTGAGGCGGAGCATACGCTCTTCAGGCTCGAGCATCTCATCACTATCATAACCTCCATCAGAACTGCCATCGATGTCAAACTCGTCGTCGTCGTCGTCGCTGCTATCCTCCTCGTTTTCGTCGTCATCTCCCACTTCCTCCACAACCACATCAGATCCACTCCCATCAGTATCTGAATCACTTCTATCACCCTCGGAATCACTTTCATCACTTGTCTCGCTATCAGCATCAATCGATGAAGTGCGAATAACATAAGATACAGACCTAGAAGTAGCCTCAGGTCCTCCGCCGTCTAAATTCAGAGCTTCTTCGGTAGAATTCATAGCAGAC